TTTTTCTCTCTTTTAAGGCAAACCGATAACATCCCATACAAACCTTTATAAATATAAAACGTTACGCAACACGGTAAGAGTCACGTCCGCTTTTCCAGCAATGAGCTTGGGCTGCCTGTGGAACGACACAAGTACTTTTTAGTTTGTTTTGATAACAAAGCAATTACGCTCAAGAAAGAGAAAGTTTAGTCGACAGTGTAAAAATTAGGTAAGACCCGGTTCACACTACACCGAAAAATTTGGTTTGGTATTTGCGAAAAAGTTAAAAATTTTGTAACAACGAATTTTGTGTTTTTGTATTTAGCGTTCGCACTTGAGACCTGCGAATTATTTGGGTAATCACAAAAGTTAAGCAATCGAAAAAGATACCGAGGTTTCGTGACAGTGCGTTTTCTTTTATGTCTTTTCTGGTCAAGGACTGATCGCAAAGCAAAATGCCCCCGCGAGATGTTTTAATCGCCTTTCTTTGCTGTTTGCTTGCCATGCAAAAACTGATTGTGCCAGTGAACAATTACTTTTGGTTTTCTTGGGAAGGATTCGGCTTCTACCAATCATGGAGACTTTAACTCAGTTGCTCAATATACGTCGAGGCCTCAGTCGACTTGTAGAATCCTGGTTTGAAATCGTAACTTCCTGAAGCCTTTTTCCGTAGACAGTTTGAGAATGGGTAGATAGTCATTCCACAACTCACTAACGCGACGTTCAATTACGAGATATGATGACCAGTTGAAGGGTATCTGTCAGGGGACAATAGATTTTCTTGCCCGACAAAACATTGTAGGCATCCAAAAGTAGTTGACGGTATCTTTGTAGTTTGGTGGCTCTTGCGAAAATTTTGGTGGGTCAAAAAAATCGTTCGCACTGAAATTGGTTTCGCGTTGACAAATTCTTTTGCAAAACAAAGAAAATTTCGTGCAGTGCGAACAGGCCCTAACCACGACGGTAACGGTGACGAGGACGTGGCAAACTGAAAACAAATTTAAAAGATCCAATGGGCAGAAAATAGCTTAGCGAGTCCCTTTGAAAACTTTGTACATTTCGCAGCTGTCCTCCCTAACAAACAACTTTTGATTTGCGTGGTCTGTGAACAAAAAGCCCAACGGCAAAATTAGCTAAGTTTTCATTGTGGCTCACATGTGTTGTGCTGAAGTTGAAGTAAAGCGCAGCAAGAAACATTAAACAAATCCAGCCATGCGACATATTGTTCGTGCGCGTGCAGTGTCGAGGCACTCTCGGGATTCTTAATGAGTCAAAGTTATCGGAACGCAAGGAGCTCTGTTTCAGGAGATGTGACATTGGCTTTCAAGCAGATGACAAGGAAACATCGAGTAAAGAGGTACGAAGCAATGTTTTTTGCACCTGAAGCGATTTACAAGTAGAACCTTCGCAGTTAAACAATTCAGTTCGACTGTATATGTAAATGCTTTTTGTTTGTTTGTTTTTTTTTATTTGAGAGTACTACTGTCCTCAGAAATTCCAGTAGTAGTCCGTATTTGTTTGCATAGCGTCTCCTTCACAAGACAATATTTCTGATTAAAGGAGTTGATGAGATGAATATTGTCGTGAAAAGTTTAACCTGGCTGCAGAGATCTAGTTAAGATTTCGGTTATAAATGTATTCATGTCGAAAACTTCCTCCCGACTGCCAAAGTAAATATTGCCCAATATTTTAGTTTTCCTATCGGTCGCATGTGAGATACTAAGGCCGTTGTGTTCCAAACATTTCTACACGGGCTTGCTTCCATTTTCAGTTCAAAATGTTCGTAGTAGCATTACTTAACTGACAACGTTTCAAGTTGTAAGGCGATTGGGCACAAATCGTCTCTCTAACAGATAATTGTTCCTAGCCCTTATAGCTGTTTACCATGCACTCCTGCTGTCAACAATATCAATTAATAACAAATGCAAACGTGCTCAAAATTTTCAGTAATTATTAGTCCGGTGGAGTCCATCAAAACCGTAAACAATGGACTCTTTCATATAGCCGTGGTGCGATCTTGAAGGAACAAATTAAATCAAGTTTTGGCTAACATCCATAAACGTGAACTAAATGGCGCACCAAACCATGTTAACCGTATTACGCTTTAAACGCCAAAATTCACAAACAAGTTTTAATCTGAAGGTTAGGGTCTATTTAAGGCTGGGCACTTCGATACTTTTCTTCCATTTAGTTAATGCGCTACCTTCTAAGAGCCGGCGAACCTGGTGACTGGATAAGATGTCTCCCCAATCAGTTCGAACAATTCCCGAACCAACGAGCACGAAACACATGTATGTCGCCATTGCTTTTATAATTATAAAAGCAAAACTTATCTCGGCTGTTTAATGGTATCTAATGACACCACGAAAACAAAGGAAGGTTGGTAAAAACATACATGAATCAGTGATTGATATGTGTCGCTGCGGTTATCATATAGTGATTATCATCTTAATTTTTCGGTGATTATTACCATTCTTTTCGTGGTTTTGTTTTGTTTGGGTTTTTTTTGTCCCTGGTTTCCTCATTAGTTTTTCTTGGATATTTCGCTTTAAAGATATTTCGGTTTCTGTAGAATCACGTTGCTGTTTTAGGTTCAGACTCCTTTCTTTTCATTGTATTACAGTCATGAATAATCGAACGATACAATAATGTCGCCAGATGTCAGCAAAGAGTAAACCGGTAACCCACATGCTGTGATACAAGACACCGGTATAGTGTTTGAACAGCTGTGGTTCATAAATTAAAAAATTCCCTACACCTATAGGCACGCAAGAAAAGCAAACAAACAAACAAAACAAATCTAATAAATCACAAGAAAACAAAATGTAGCAAAACCGAAAGTGATAGCCTGGTAAACAACACGAGTAACCTTCCCTCCCTCCCCCCTCCAAAAAAAAAAAAAAACGAAAACAAAAGAAAAAAGAACATTACCAGATTGTGAAGGTTTGAGTATCCTTGCTTATGCAGGCTTTGTTAGTATTAATGTTGATAAACTCTAATTGTTTGATACGTGTAACGAGAGAAATGTACTTACTGGAAATTATATGAACCCGAACTCAGTGGGTTATGAGGCCTATGAACGACATGCTTTTGAGCTTCACCTTTCTCGTCAAATGATATAATAACGTACAGGTTATAAGGAAAATCCACTTCATTAGAAAATGAGACATCAAAATACTTGAAACCGTCAGTTAAGGCGAAAATCAGTAAACATGACCATAGAGTGAGTGTACATGGAAACCTGGAGACTAGTTAACCAGTTTAAAGGTTCTTTATACGTAAGATCGTCAGCTGTTCGCGGTAAGCAGCGTAAATGGGGAAAACAGAGTTTTAGATCCCCCTTCTTTTGTGAAAATGTTTGACCGCAAACCGCTAGGAATCAGGTGAGAAGACGCTAGCGGTCATGTTCGCTGTTTGCGGTCCACGTTTAAACTTCAAGCAGGTCGACTCCCTCGGCGCTTTCCTTCTTCCTGTCCGAAAGTTCTCACATGTGTCCTGTAAATATATGTGAAATGATGTCTTTTCTTTTAAATCAATCCCTTCATCAAACGTGGATGGAAAACTCTCTCTTGGAGAGATCCGAAACACCTTTAAAGCGTGTGACGGTTAATCAGTGGGCTGTTTTTTGACGGCTGACGGTTAAATTTTAGGCCTTTTGACAGCTGATGGTTTAACCCCCTCGAAGCCCTCTATCATGCACGATACTTTTCATCTCGTTGACGAACTATTGCAGCAAGAAAAATTTTTTCAGGATGTACTCGTTACTTTGTTTTTGAAAAAATAACCAGCGTACAAGTGTAACTGATACGAACGTGTTTTTCATTAAGTACTTAATTTATATGGAAATACAACATGAACGGAATTTTGCACAAAATACTGATTAAGACAGATCTAAGTGCCTCTCATGGTTTGATTTAAACCATACTTGGAGCTCACTAAAGATTATTTCCAAGGCTCAGTAAGTAAATCTTCAAAACAATTTCAAGTAGACAACGGGTCTAAAAAGTGTTTTTAAGTTGCATCTTTTCCCGATCGCGGTGAAGGGATGTTTGAAGTAGAATTGACACAGCCTCAGGAAACAAACTCTACTAGAATTTAGTTATGCATAATCGCGCATTAAAAAGTGCCAGAATCTCTTGAGAAATAAGTGTTAACTACTTCAAAATGAATCTCTTATTGGTTTATAAATCTGCCACATGTTCAAAAGCAATAATCCTTACCTATTATCGAACGAAAAAATAAATACATCAAGTTACCGTAGATTCAATATCATTTAAAGACACGGTCGCGATTTCTGAGATATGTTTGCAATTCAATAGTACTCTAGCGCACCCCGAATAATTGTGGTGTTAACATATTTAAACAATCCTTCAATCTGTGTCAAGATCTCTTTTTATCTGAAGGGAAGGATAAAGATAAATGCTTACTAAAAATAAATGCTTTGCGTTGTCAACACTATAGCTTCGCTATCATATGACATATTCTTATTTCGGCCTGTGTTTTCTGTAATTATCTCTTTTAAAATGCTTCACGCAAAGAACTTCCCGTCTGCCAAAGGAACTCTTAACATTTTGTTTTGATTTTTCGTCGATGGGTGTTTCGTCGTTAGATGACGCCCACACGATCGTGCTATGTNGGAGCAACTTCAGAATACCCGTCCACATCATTTACATGTGTCGGGAGGCTTTGAAGAATGAGGCATAACACAATAGATGCTATTCTTATTCAATGACATGTAAATGAGTGGCCGGGTATTCTGAAGTTTAGCCACATGCTTCATTTGGTACGTGTAATTAGGAGGCCATCGCGTGCGCAAGACGACATTAGAATTTGGAGACCCTTTCAGCGAATATAACCTTGAATTCAAAAGAAGCACCAAGATAAACAATGATCAAATCCCTCCATCTTATCATGATCTTTTTCTGGGGCTACATTTTGTTCGTGCGCGTGCAATGTCGAGGCACTCTCGGAATTCTTAATGAATCAAAGTTATCGAAACATAAGGAACTCTGTTTTAGGAGATGTGACATTGGCTTTCAAGCGGATGACAAGGGAATATCGAGTAAAAAGGTACGAAGCTAAGTTATGTATTTTGCGCCTGCAGCGATTTACATGTAGAACCTTCGCAGTTAAACAATTCAGTTCGACTGCATATGTAAATTATTTTTTTTTAATTTAAAGTTGATGTACTATTGTCCTCAGAAATTCCAGTAGTAGTCTGTATTTGTTTACATAGCGTCTTTTCACTAGATAATACTTCTGATCACGTTAAAGGAGTTAGTGAGATGAATATTGCTGTGGAAAGTTTAGCCTGGCTGCATAGATCCTGTTCAGATTTCGGTCATAAATGTTTTCACCTCGAAAATTACAACCCGACTGCCATGGTGAATATTGCGCAATATCTGAGTTTTCCAATTAGTGCTCAAAATTTTCAGTAATTATTAGTCCAGTCGAGTCCATCAAAACCGTAAACAATGGACTCTTTCATATGGCCGTGGTGCGATCTTGAAGGAACAAATTAAATCAAGTTTTGGCTAACATCCATAAACGCGAACTAAATGGCACACCAAACCATGTTAACCGTATTGCGCTTTAAAGGCCAAAATTCACAAACAAGTTCTATTCTGAAGGTTAGGGTCTATTTAAGGTTGGGCACTTCGATACATTTCTTCCATTCAGTTAATGCGCTACTTTCTAAGAGCCGGCGAACCTGGTGACTGGATAAGATGTCTCCCCAATCAGTTCGATCAATTCCCGAACCAACGAGCACGAAACACATGTATGTCGCCATTGCTTTTAAAATTATTTAATGGTATCTAATGACACCACGAAAACAAAGGGAGGTTGGTAAAAACATACATGAATCAGTGATTGATATGTGTCACTGCGGTTATCATATCGTGATTATCATCTTGATTTTTCGGTGATTATTACCATTCTTTTCGTGGTTTTGTTTTGTTTGGTTTTTGTTTGTCCCTGGTTTCCTCATTAGTTTTTCTTGGATATTCCGCTTTAAAGATATATCGGTTTCTGTAGAATCACGTTGCTGTTTTAGGTTCAGACTCCTTTCTTTTCATTGTATTACAGTCATGAATAATCGAACGATACAGTAATGTCGCCAGATGTCAGCAAAGAGTAAACCGATAACCCACATACTGTGATACAAGACACCGGTATAGTGTTTGAACAGCTGTGGTTCATAAATTAAAAAATTCCCTACACGTATAGCCACGTAAGAAAAGCAAACAAACAAACAAAACAAATCTATTAAAGCACAAGAAAAAAAAAATGAAGCAAAACCGAAAGTGATAGCCTAGTAAACAACACGAGTAACCTTCCCTCCCTCCCCCCTCCGAGAAAAAAAACAAAACAAAACAAAACAAAAGAAAAAAGAAAGTTATCAGATTGCGAAGGTTTGAGTATCCTTGCTTATGCAGGCTTTGTTAGTATTAATGTTGATAAACTCTAATTGTTTGATATGTGTAACGAGAAAAATGTACTTATTGGAAATTATATGAACCCGAACTGAGTGGGTTATGAGGCCTATGAACGACATGTTTTTGAGCTTCACCTTTCTCGTCAAATGATGTAATAACTTACAGGTTATAAGGAAAATCCATATCATTAAAAAATGAGACATCAAAATACTTGAAACCGACATGACCATAGAGTGGGTGTACATGGAAACCTGGAGACTAGTTAACCAGTTTAAAGGTTCTTTATACGTAAGATCGTCAGCTGTTCGCGGTAAGCAGCGTAAATGGGGAAAACAGAGTTTTAGATCCCCCTTCTTTTGTGAAAATGTTTGACCGCAAACCGCTACGAATCAGGTGAGCAGACGCTAGCGGTCATGTTCGCTGTTTGCGGTCCACGTTTGAACGTCAGGCAGGTCGACTCCCTCGGCGCTTTTCTTCTTCCTGGCCTGTCCGAAAGTTATCACATGTGTCCTGTAAATATATGTGAAATGACGTATTTTCTTTTAAATCAATCCCTTCATCAAACGTGGATCGAAAACTCTCTCTTGGCGAGATCCGAAACGCCTTTAAAGCATCTGACGGTTAATCAGTGGGCTGTTTTTTGACAGCTGACGGTTAAATTTTAGGCCCTTTGACAGCTGATGGTTTAACCCCCTCGAAGCCCTCTATCATGCACGATACTTTTCATCTCGTTGACGAACTACTGCAGCAAGAAAATTTTTTTTGGGATGTGCTCGTTAACTTGTGTTTGGAAAAATAATCAGCGTACAAGTGTAACTGATACGAACGTGTTTTTCATGAAGTATTTTATTCATACAGAAATACAAGATGAACGGAATTTGCACAAAATATTGTTTAAGACAGATCTAAGTGCCTCTCTTGGTTTGATTTAAACCATTCTTGGAGCTCACTAAAGATTATTTCCAAGGCTCAGTCAGTAAAGCTTCATAAATATTTCAAGTAGACAACAGGTCTAAAAATTGTTTTTAAGTTGCATCTTTTCCCGATCGCGGTGAAGGGATATTTGAAGTAGAATTGACACAGCCTCAGGAAACAAACTCTAGTAGAATTTAGTAATGCATAATCGCGCATTAAAAGTGCCAGAATCTCTTGACAAATAAATGTAAACTACTTCAAAATAAATCTGTTCTTGGTTTATATATCTGCCACATGTTCAAAAGACTCAATTGCAATAATCCTTACCTATTATCAAACGAAAAGAATAAATACATCAGGTTACCTTAGATTCAATATCATTTAAAGACACGGTCGCGATTTCTGAGATATGTTTGCAATTCAATACTACTCTAGCGCACCCCGAATTATTGCGGTGTTGATATATTTAAACAATCCTTCAGTCTGGGTCAAGATCTCTTTTTGTCTGAAGGGAAGGATAAAGTTAAATGCTTAAAACAAATGCTTTGCGTTGTCAACACATCATAGTTTCGCTATCATATGACATATCAACTTATTTTGGCCTCTGTTTTCTGTAATTATCTCTTTTAAAATGCATCACGCAAAGAACTTCCCGTCTGCCGAAGGAACTCTTAACATTTTGTTTTGATTTTTCGTCGATGGGTGTTTCGTCGTTAGATGACTCCCATACGATCGTGTTATGTAACTATGTCAAGGATATTTGCGGTGGCCGAATTCTTTCGTATTCACCATATTTCTTCACTTTCCTACTCTCTTTATTTATTTATACCTTCATAATAATATTCTTTCTTGCCACGTTTACAATCGGCCTAAGGCATGATTACGTTGGAATACCAGTTTCACCCATGTGCCTCGCATTTTAGACGGGTGAGTTTCAAGAGGAAAGTGTTCCCAGAACACGACTGGAGACATAAAAATACCCACAGAAAAAACAACAAGAAAACGTCCTAGATTCATGACAATTTTAATGAAAACGAGGCTTAAGGGCAAATTTTCAGATTATTACGTCATGTGCGTAAGGTATTTTTTTTCATTGTATTATATTTCTTTCATTCGATGTCTACGTGGGTGAATGGGTACATGCTTTATTTGGTACGTGTAATATTAGGAGACCATCGCGTACGCAAGACGATATTAGAATTTGGAAACCATTTCAGCGAATATAACCTTGAATTCAAAGGAAGCACCAAGATAAACAATGATCAAATCCCTCCATCTTATCATGATCTTCTCCTGGGGCTACATTTTGTTTGTGCGCGTGCAATGTCGAGACACTCTCGGAATTCTTAATGAATCAAAGTTATCGGAACATAAGGAACTCTGTTTCAGGAGATGTGGCATTGTATTTCAAGCGAATAACAAGGGAATATCTAGTAAAAAGGTACGAAGCTAAGCTATGTATTTTGCACCTGCAGCGATTTTCATGTAGAAGCTTCGCAGTTAAACAATTCACTCGACTGCATATGTAATTTTTTTTTTTAATTTAAAGTTGATGTACTATTGTCCTCAGAAATTCCAGTAGTAGTATGTATTTGTTTACATAACGTCTTTTCACTAGATAATACTTCTGATCACGTTAAAGGAGTTAGTGAGATGAATATTGCTGTGGAAAGTTTAGCCTGGCTGCATAGATCCTGTTGAGATTTCGGTCATAAATGTATTCATGTCGAAAATTACACCCTGACTGCCATGGTGAATATTGCGCAATATCTGAGTTTTCCTATCGGTCGCATGTCAGATAACAAGACCGTAGTGTTTGTCGTGAAACTTATTAACTCCTATAGGGTTTTGTTTCTGTTTTGTTTGTACAGAGTTCAAAGGACGTTTATGATTGACAGTTGATCACGAGGCTTTTAAAACAATTACCCATGTGCTTTCTGATTAAGAATAGTTGTGAAAACTAGTCATCGAATAAACACGTTAAATAATTGTCTACGAGAATAATTATTCGACAGTGTTCCCAAAAATTCCACACGGGCCTGTTCCCGTTTTCATTTCAAAATATTCGTGATGGAATTACTTAACTGACAACGTTTCAAGTTGTAAGGCGATCTATTAGATATATTCGAGCTGTCCAGTTGACTGGGCACAAATCGGCTCTTTAACAAATAATTGTTCCTAGCCCTAAGAGCTGTTTACCGACACTTTTCTTCTGTCACCAATATCAATTGATAACGAATGCACTCGTGCTCAAAATTGTCAGTAATTAGTCTGGTCGAGTCCATTAAAACCGTAAACATTGGACTCTTTCATATAGCTGTAGTGGGATCTTGAAGGAACAAATTAAATCAAGCTCTGGCTACAATCCATAAACGTGAACTCAATGGCGCACCCAACCATGTTTACTGTATTGCGCTTTAAATGCCAAAAACTCACAAGCAAGTTCTATTCTTAAGCTTGGAGTCTATTTAAGGCTGGGTACTTCGATACCTTTCTTCTATTAATGCGCTACCTTGTCCGAGCAGGCGAACCTGGTGACTCGATAAGATGTCTCCTCAATCAGTTCGATCCGTTCGCGAATCAACGAGCACACGACAGATGTATGTCGCCATTGCTTTTATAACTATAAAAGAAAGCTTATCTTGGCTGTTTATGTAATGGTTTCTAATGACCACGAAAGCAAAGGAAAGGTTGGAAAAAACATGAATCAGTGATTGTTATGTGTCGCCGCGGTTATCATATACAGCCATTATCATCTTCTTGATTTTTCTATTATTATTACCATTGTTTTCGTGGTTTTGTTTTGTTTGTTTCTTTGTTGTCCCTGGCTCCCTCATCAGTTTTTCTTGGATATTTCACTTTGCAGATATATCAGTTTCGGCAGAATCACGTTGCTGTTTTAGGTTCAGACTCTTTTCTTTTCATTGTACTACGGTTATGAATAAACGAACATTAATGTCGCCAGAGGTCGGCAAAGAGTAAACCGATAGCCCATGTGCTGTGATACACGACACAGGTGGTGTTTTAAAAGCTGTAGTTCCTAATTAAAAAACCCTACTTTTAAAAGCACGCAAAAATCAAACAATCAAACCAACAAACAAACAAACAACAAAACAAAATCTAATAAAGCACATGAAAACAAAATGTAACAAAACCGAATGTGAAAGGCTAGTAAACAACATGAGTAAACTGCCCTACCTATCCCCCTCTCCAAAAAAAGAACATTTTCAGATTGTGAGGGTTTGAGTATCCTTGCTTATGAAGGGTTTGTTAGGATCAATGTTGATAGACTTTAATTGTTTGATATGTGTAACGAGAGAAATGGACTTATTGGAAATGATACTAATCTGAACTTATTGGGTTCTGAGGCCTATGAACGACATGCTTTTGAGCCTCACCTTTCTCAAATGATATAACTTACAGGTTATGAGGAGAATCCAAATCATTAAAAAATGAGCAATCAAACTATTTTAAACCGTCGGTCAAGGCAAAAATCGGTGAACATGACCATTAATGGAGTGTATATGGAAACCTGGAAACTAGTTTACCAGTTTAAAAATCCCACATATGTAAGATATTCAGCTGTTCGCAATAAGCAGCGTAAATGGGGAAAAGAGAGAGTTTTAGATCCCCCTTCTTTTGTGAATATGTTTGATCGCAAACCGCCAGGAATCGGGTAAGAAGACCCTAGCGGTCACGTTCGCCGTTTGCGGTACACGTTTGAACCTCAGGTAGGTGAACTCCTTCGGCGCTTTAATAATAATAATTTATAATTATGTAATATTTATATTTCGCAAATTAACATTGGGATATGATAAATGTGCATTACAATGTTATGCGGGGGACCTAACCGATCCCCCCCAACTTCAGTAAACAGGCCAGACCACAATATCGGGAGCTACGTTCCCTACTCTTTGCGATAAGTGTATAATCAGTACACAGAAAATGCAGGAGACGGGACCTACGGTTTTTCGTCCTTATCCCAGTATCTATCCATTTCTTGATATGATAGAAGTGTAGCTCATTCTCCTCAGCTATTTTAATACCCTGAGTGTTGGTCCGGTCTGGGGCTGGAACAGGCAGTCTGGTACTCTACCACTTGAGCTAACCAGGCGGCGCCTTTCTTCTTCCTATCCGTAAATTACCATATATATCCTGTAAATATATGTAAGAGGAAGTCTTTTTTTTCTCTAAATCCGTTTGGGACGTTAGAAAACCAAACATTTCGCCACACTTTGTGTTTGAAAAAAAGGACTTCTTTCGTGGAATTCAAGATGGCGGCACACAAGTTGATTTTTCTCAGGCGAAAGGTGACGTCGATGTAAGAGCTGAAACTATAATCATTCATCTTTACTCTGTTTGAAACGTCAAACTGCTAATCGCGCTTTGACGTTTGCGGTTAACACATTAAATTGTGGCTGCCGTTTCCCTCGTTTTCTCGAAAAATGAAAGGAGACTCTGCTGGCAGGGAAATAATTAATTTAATTAAACTATAATCCTTTCATAAAAAATCCTTGTATAT